GGGGCAAAGGAGGGGGGGGGGGGGGGGGCAGAAGATGGAGATGAAAGCATATGACAGAACATGATTAGAGAGTAGAAAAGGAGGTGAAAGAAGAAAATGTTTTAAAGAAAATTATTGTTGTTGTCAGGGTTGGAATCCAGGACCTATTGAATGAGAGGCAAGCACCGTGCCTATAATAATATAGACCAGAGAGTCTAGACCACGAGTGCTAAGGCATTTTACGGTTAATTACTTCGCTCGCAATTGCATGAGTTCATATATGAGCGTGCGGAACACATTAAATATTTTCACTTTGGTAGGAATTAATTTTCACTTTTGCCCGGGGGAGGGGGGGGGGCGGCCGCGAAGCCTACTCTTATATAAATTTTGGACCACTAAGGGATCTTTATCGTGCACAATTTAACTTGCTCACTGGACCTCCAAGATTTTTCGCTGTTATCCCAGAAAGCCAGGTGATAGATCTTGTCTATCTTAGATTAGAAAGAGGTGTGGCTGAAAGACTGCAGTAAGTTAAGGAGCCAAGGAGTAGCGGTACAAAGGCTGCAGAAGGAGTGCAGGAGCAAGACTTGATCGTCAATAGGCCTCTATTATAAGGAGAGTATAAGCGGTTATAGGAGCATTCAGCAAGACACTCCCCTCGTTATCCGGAGTTCCCAGATTCACTTCCCACGTTAGTGAACTAATAGATTTTTTTAGTTTTAAAGGGAGTTTTATTTAGGGGGGAATATGTTTTTCTTGGACTGTTTGTTTGTTTGGGGTTTTTTTGTGTGTCATAGGCTAGTATAGTATAGCAACGAGAACATATTAGCCTACATGTATTATACAACCAGAGATAAGATCGAAACAGATGAAGAGGCAGGCCTAGGAAAAGATGGGGACAGGTAGGGGAGGATCAGAGATAAGTAACTCAAAAAGATATCGCAAACCATGCAACAGCAGCACGATACAACAAGCAATAGTAAAGACGTAAGTTATCACGTTTGCTCATAGACCTATTATCACCTAATAATATGTCTATGCGTTTGCTTCTCCCCTCGACAAGGCAAGTTACCAAGAGGCCTGAAAAGGTAAAAAGTGAAATCTCTCTTTGAAGCCACCAGTTTTTTTAAACAGCTGATGCGTGACAACCATAGATGTACACTATAGGAGGTAACTCTACGGTGACAACACACAGAATACCCGAAATATCCAATATCGTCATCGTATTCTAAAAATAGAAAAGTCGTGACAATGACTGGATCAGGCAAGGGAAGTAACTATAACGACACACAAAAGAGCTCTCTTTTTCCTTTTCTTGGTAAAATGTTAGAGGTTCCAAGATGGAGGACTGTTGCTGACGAGAAATTGATCGCATAGATCTGAAAGTTTGATCATTTTGTTTCTGTGTGGAGACCAACAATGTTTTATTTGAAGTAGTTGTCTAAAGCTAATAGGCGTACAAAGATGGCACAACACGAAGGACTGTTGAAATCCTATTTGTCCAAGGTTTGTGAATGATGCAGAGAAGAGTTGTCTTACTACCCCGCCGAACCTGATGAGTGCCAAGTCATTTTCAATTTGTTTCCAAGTTCCTTTCCAAGTTAGATCGTATTCACCCACACACAGATGCATTGATTTGAGGGCTAAACTGCCATAATATTTGCTGTAGAACACACGTATGGCCACTAAAACCCTTGCAAATCTATTGTTTTGAAGTAAGGCCTCGTAAATATCAATCCTAGATTCTAATTGCCAAAAACATCAAATCATTTTTTTTTGTTCAGAAACAGAGGGGTTATTCGTAGATCTAGATCTAGATCTAGATCTAGATTATATCTAGATCTAGATCTAGATCTACCATTATTGTGCGAAAAACTCTATCTGGTTATCTGTACAATATTGTTGTACGAATAACTGCCACTAGTTATCCGTACAATGACAATACTAAACCCCCACAGCCGAGGCCGAGGCCTAAGGTAAGAGTAAGATTGAAGAATACCGGACCAGCGGACTGACTTTGCCTAGATCTAGAGTGGTGTAGCCCCTGCGCGTGCGCCTTCTCGGTGCGTGCACTTTTGTTTTCCTTTGTTTTTAGCCTCAAATTGCGTTTTTGCGTTTGATTGAATGCGTCAGTGTGTGCAGCAGCCATTTTTGTTTACTTCCATCACTCGTTTGCCGACAAGGGACCATCGAGAGTGTTTTTATCAGCTGTGGCAAGTTGACATTCAATGCTGAC